TAGCTTGCAATAGGGCTGTTGAGGGTGAAATGTTCTCAGGGTGGCTTCTCCAGCACCCAGGCCTGGCAGTGTGGCTTGTCCCAAGCAGCTAGAGGACTGTATTTGGAAGCACTGTAGCTTGGTGCCCTGAATTTTTCCTCGCACTTTGGAAATATGCAAATAGTTCATAACTAAAAAAAAAATCTAGTCCTTCACTACTGTGCATGTGCACAGAAATGACTGTCTGTTGTGTTCAGGTTCACCTTGGCAATTCCCTTGTATATTACCTACTCTGCTTTGGAAAACATCCTAAGCTGTAATCTACAAGGATCAGGGGGAAATACTTATTAAAAATGCAAATACATGCACACAATTCAGAAGCACTGAAAAGCTTTTTAAAACACAAGGGAAGTAATTGCTCTGAAAAGGAGCACCAAATTGGGGTGGGTGGGGAGTAACTCCTACTTGTCAATGTCATCTAACTATTATGCCTTGAACTGAAATGTCTCTGTGTCTTCCCGTGTCTGACACTTCCCTGAACTCTGACAGCAGCTGCTCAAGTGGACAGAGTGGTTGATCAGAGCACCACTGCTGGTTTGGGCAGCCCAGTTGCTCAGTTCTGTTCAGGGAAGTGCCAGAAGGGGGAAGGAAACTGGAAAATGTCAGTCCAAGTTGCAGCAAGGAGATGACTTCAGCAAATGGAGTGCTACGTTCCCCTCTCCTCACAACTCCTTTTCAGAGCAATTACTGCTGGAGTGACTGTGCTCTAGAAATTTGTGCAACTCTCCGCTCCATTTACTGCATAGCCTTGAAATTTGCACAACATCACCTGGTCTTCGTATGAGTGTACATTTCCTAATCCCTGAAACTGGTCTGTAACTACTGTATATAACTGAGAGGAAACAATGATAGAATTAGCAGGCATAAAGGGAACTGAAAGTGGAAGACAAAATAGATCAGGCCATTCATAGCATGGGGATACATGCAGAATTCATGGCACAGCAGTACACTGGAGGGGAAATCTGAAAATCTTATAACAAAGGCGTGAAACAGAGGGCAAATTTGTGCAAATCTTGTAGAAAGCAGTAGAACGGAGGGCAAATGTGTTCAAATTCCCTGGCAAGGTTTGCAGTTAGCTTCCCATGTGTTCTCTTACCTTAGAGTGAGGGAAGTGTCTAAGTTACATGGACATTGACAAGAGGAAAATAAGGGCAAGATTAGCTAAGTAGTATGGAGATGGCCTTTCACTCTTTTGCAATCCCCCCCATAAAAATAGCTTTGAAACATTCCTGCATCCATAAAGGCTGAGAAAAAAAATTTCCTTTTGCTGTCTGATACAGGAAGCGGGGAGGGGGGGATTTCCCTCATCAGCCAGCAGCTGTGCCCGGCCAATTGCAGAAAGGGTGCTGATGCAGAGGATGAAAAAATGAGGGTTTCTGTTGCACAGGCATGTGGATATGTGCCAGCAATGGGCTGGGGCACTGGGAGGGAATGATGCAGTCTTGGAAGTCATCTGTCAGGAGTAAGGGACAAGCCACCCACCTGCAGGTGCACCCTCAGTCACATCCTTTCAGGTACCAAGGCTGCCGTTATCTACCTCCTTCCAAGCAGCTCTAGACAGTGACTTTCTAACTAAAGGCTGTGTTAAGTTAATGCAAGCCAATCTGACTGGCTTTAAGGTCTAAATGAAGTCAATAACAAAGAAGCAAATATAGTTAGAATACTAGCTCTTAAGGAAGCTTGACTTATGGGTAAGAAGTCAACCCAGAACTGAATACCCCACCTACTTCCAAGTACAGATTACCTGGACACTTCAAAGGCAGATCATCTTGCCTCAGGGCCTACCGCATGGAGTGGATGCTCCTCAGTTAGCCTGCCATCTTCAGCTGATGCCAGATCTTGGGTTTCATGATGGTCAATCCTTCCTCCTCCTCATTAGCAGGCTCACCTTTCCTTCCCACGGTGTCTGAAGCTGAAGGACCCTCAACTACCACTGGGCCCACTGGTCTTGGCATCTAAGCTGCAGATTCTAATTCTTCCTCTGCATCTGAGTCAGAGATTTTCTTGAACATTTCTCACCTGTCACTGGAATAACTCTGTTGTCTCTGATCAAAAGGCAGAATAACACAGAGATTCCTCTCTTCCACCTTCAGCCTAAGTATTCAAACCATGGTGTGGCTTAGGAACAAGGTTGCCCTCTGCTATTCTGTGTGGATCACTAGCACTGCTGAGTTGCTAAAAGGAGAACGGGGAAGACTGATCCGTGTACATGTGTAAAAGGAAGGCAGGAAGATGGGAAGGAAGGAGCCCCATCTCCTCTTGAATCCCCTTTAAAATCCAGCATCCCCATTCGAACACCAGTGCTCACCTACATCCATTCCCATTTTTTGATGCTGTCTGAAGCAGATTGCCCCAACCTGCCACTTGGCCTCTAATGATTATAGCAAAGTACAGTTACAGTAACACTTCCAAATTGTTCTGTAACATCTATTCTTGACATTTATTTCGCTGACCGATTCAAAGATTTCTCTGAAGCATGCCCTTATAAAGTATAGTTTACATTTATTCACCCTTGACCATCATTGTTTATGCATGTCCAGAAAATTTAGAAAAGAAGTACCATTTCCTGAACATTGTTTTCCTTCTGGAGTTTTTGGACAGTATGCACCAAGTCTGCCAGCTTTTGCATAGTTGCTATGCAAATATTTGTCTGATGTGAAAGTGCAGGTGTTTGAAAATTCTTTCGATTTGAAGTTCTTCTATGATTAATGTGCTAATTAAAAGATCCTTATAACTGTAGCAATTTACTTCTTTCCATCCACCATTTTACAGCATCTCAGACGTTTTAAGTAGAAAGTATGTCCTCTTAGTTTTTGGATTGTTTCTTTTACATATTTGCAAACCCCCTGAATCTGTTAGTAGAACTGCTATAAAAGTGAAGTATCCAATTTTTACTTTCTTTTATTTTTTATAAATACTTCATGTGTGTCCTGGAGTCATACACATAACATTTTATAGGTAATTTTTTAACAAGTCACTTAGCAAAATAGAGGCATTTTACAGCCTTTGGGAACCAGCCATCAATGCTTGGCATCAGACACTACAGAATACAGAACAGGTTATGGGAAGTCAGGACCTCTGAAAGTTGATGCAGGCAGCCACAATGCTCTTGGAGCAGTATCTTTTATTATATAAATTCTAGACAATCCTGAGTATCCTCACCTGAACGGTATTCAATTCCTGTAATGCAAAAAGGAATTCCTGTTTTTCAGTTTAAATACTTTTTTGCATAACTGAGTCCTAATATATGTTTACTTAGAGCTGCAGACAGAGAACCATATCTTGATCTGATTAGGATCATGCCCTGATTCATGTGAGGATGAAGTATTATACAACAGTATTAGAGAAATACTGCCTGAAATAACAGACAAACAGACCAGGAGCTGCCTGATCCAGCACTGGGAGCTGGGAGTTTTAGTAAGTTCATCCCCAGCAGGTTTTCTTCTCAAAGCAAAGTGTTGAGCAACTAAGATCAATTGGGGAGGAAGAGGCTGGTGCTGTTGGGAATGAAAGAGGCAGTGTTTCAGGGCCAGGGTGACATTTTTGATGGGAAGGATGAGATCTGGAAAACAGGGCCTCCAGATATGGAGGTGGAGCAGTCATAGGCCACTGTCTCCAGGTGTTCAAGGAGACCCTGAGAACAGCCAGCATCTGCAAGTGCCAGGAAGGGCATGGGACAGTAGCCAGATGAGCCTGGTGTGGTGCTTGATCCCCTGATGTGGTCTCAGGAGAGAAGGGATCGTGAACTAGAAGGGCTGCATACAGCTAGGAGGCTTGCCCAGTTCTAGAAGGGCTCTCCCAGAGCAGTGGGGTCCAGGGTTACTCAAACGGAGAGTTCTTTGAATTAGTTTTTAGGTTGGGTTCAACAAACTGTTCTGTGTATGTTCAGAGACTCTTTCTTTGCTGGTTGTGGTTTTCTGGAAGTGCTTGGAGAAGAAGGAGATTTTTTAAAGGAATGGTCTGTTGTTCTGAAAATAGTGCCAGGCTTTTGGAGTTAGGAAGGAAATAGCATTCAAAATGGAGTCAAGGGTTCAAATTGGAACTTGACCAGTGGTTTCCTGACTAAGCAATTCTGCCGCACAGACTAGCTTGCGTCCTTTGCCATATATCTTCCACACTTTCCCCCTTTAAAAGTTTACCCTAATCCACCTCCCCAATTCATATCTTCCCCAATACACATCAATCTTCTATCTGATAAGTCAACTATAATTTTAGTATTTATGTGACTATATCTGTAGGCTATCAGGTACACATAGTCTAAGAGCCATTTTGTGGTGATAATTCAGTGCTGTGTGGCATATATAAGCCCCAACCTGAACTTATTCTAAAGTGGCAAGAGAGTTTCAGCCATTCATTGATTTTGCTGATCTTGCTTATGAACCACTCGAGCAACCTCCACCTGCCCGCATGATTGATTCTGTGCGCTTTGTGGGAAGCTGCAGCCCACCAGAGGATTATGTTGAGGGCAGTGGGAGAACACTGTTTCACTCTCCTCAAAACCTTTTATGACTGCCTTGATAGAGACTTGCGTTGCCTTATGTTACGTTAACACTTTTTGATATATAGAAACAGACTTCTGCTATATCCTTTAAGGCACACTTGCTTATACTGACACATGATTATAGTGAAGAGTGATGAGCTGCATTGAAAGGGAGGGGATCAGTAGGTTATGTAGGCAGAGGAGTAGACAACCTGGTGCCCTCCAAATGTTTTGCAGTGTAACTCCTTAATCTCTTACCATTGGCCAACTAACCAAGGCTAAAACATTTAGAAGGCACCCACTTCCCTATGCTTGCTTGCAACATTTATAGGATGTTGAGTTGCCATTATTTAAGTGTTAATTTTCCTTCTGAAACATAGGAGATACATTGTATGGACTTCCCCCATAAATCATAGTAAAGGAAATAACATGTATTCTGTTTGCAATTTTTTAAACTGGTGCAAATTACTTTGTCTTTCAGAATGTCGAGTAGTGAAATCCACTTCCTATACCAAAATAGCTTCGACATCACGGAGGAGCACTACCAAGAGTCCAGGTCCATCTAGACGCAGCAAATCTCCAGCATCTACCAGCTCAGGTAAAGCTGTTGATATACACTTAAATAAATCAGAGAATAGTAGAGTTGGAAGGGGCCAGAAGGCTGTTGAATCCAACCCACTGCTCACTGCAGGACTCTTAAGTGAAACCATCCCTCTTGGACGGCTGTCCAGTTGCATCTTGAATGTCTCTAGTGTGAGAGAACCCACAACCTCTTGGGGTTATTGGTTCCATTGACATACTGTTCTAACAGTCAGGAAATTCTTCCTGATATCATGCTGGAATCTGGCTCCCTGTAACTTAAGCTGATTATTCTGTGTCCTGCATTCTGGGATGATTGAAAAAAGATCCTGTCCCTCATCTTTGTGACAGCCTTTCAAGAGTTCTATTATATCTCCCCTCAGTCTTCTCTTCTTGAGGTTAAACATGCCCAGTTCTTTCAATCTCTCCTCATGGGGCTTTGTTTCCAGTTCCTGGATCATCCCTGTTGCTGTCCTCTGAACCCTTTCCAGCCTATCTGCAACTGTGGTGGCCAGAACTGAACACCGTACTCTGGATAAGGCCTAACCAGTGCTGACTAAAGGGAAACTAGTACTTCACATGATTTGGAAGTGCTACTTCTGTCAATGCAGCCTAAACTAGAATTTTCCCTTTCTGCAACTACATCACATTGTTGATTCACATTCAGTTTGTGATCTACACCAATTCCAAGATCCTTCTCACTTGCAGTATTGTTGAGCCAAATATTTCCCATCTTGTAATGATAAATTTGGTTTCTTTTTCCTAGGTACACTTCTTGGCATTTGTCCCTACTGAAATTCATTTGTGTGGTTTTCAACCCAGTGTTCTAACCTATCAAGATCACCTTGAATCTTCTTTCTGTCTTTCAGACTATTAGCTATCCCACCCAGTTTTGTTACTTGCAAATTTGATAACCATTCCCTGCACTTTCTCATCCAAATAATTAATAAAATTCTTGAAAAACACCAGATCCAGGACTGAACTCTGCTTGTTACCTCCCCCGTGTTTGAGAAGGTGTCATTGATGAGTACTCCTTGAGTCTGATTCTGTAGCTAACTGTAGATCTATCTGATAGCTGTTCCATCTAGTTGACTTTTAGCTAGTATGATAATCAGGAGGTCATAGGGTACTTTGTCAAAAGCTTTGCTGAATTCCAGATAGATTATGTCCACAGTATTGTCACAGTCCATCAGGGAGGTTACCCAGTCAAAAAATGAAATCAGATTAGTTTGGCATGATTTGTTCTTGAGGACTCCATTTTGACTTCTCATGATCACTGCATTGCTTTCAAGATGTTTGCAGACTGACTGCTTTATAATGTTTCAGAATTTTCCCAGGAATTGATATCAAACTGACTGGTCTGTAGTTCTCAGGAACCTCCTTTTTGCCTCTTTTGAAGATAGGGAAACATTAGCCCTCCTTCAGTCATCTGGCACTTAACCCATCCTCCAGAATTTCTCAAAGACTGCAGACGGTGGTTCTGAGAGTTCTTCTGCTGATGGAGTGTCTTTTGCTGTTGTGGTGCATAAACCTTTGTCTGTTGTTACATCCAAGTATCGTTCTCCCTTCGCTGCAGGATTCAGTTTAAAGGCCTCCTTTCCCAAGAAGGGAAAATTATCAAGGACCCAAAGTTCTTGACTCTCCTTCATAAAGCTTCAAAGTCTGATGTGATTTCTTCAAAGCTCTGCTTGGCAGGGTTGTTTGTTCCTACATGTATTAGAAGGAAGGGATACGTGTCAGTGGGCTGTATGAGCCTTGGCAGTCTTTCAGTTATATCACTAATCTGTCCTCCAGGGAGACAGTATACCCTATGAGTCCATTGGTCTTCCCAACGGAAATGTATTTCCATCCCACACAACAGGGAATCTCCCACAACTAACATGCTGCCTTTCTTGTTCCTGTGAGGCTTGGTATCATTGCCACTTTAGCCTCTTGTTCAGTGTTGCACAGGATGACTTGTAGTTCTTCCATGGTAGGCTGCCCTGCAGTCTCATCCTTGTGGAACTGAAAGTTCCGCTATGGCACTGGTGCAGAGTACCTAAATTTCCCCCTTTTCCAGGGAACTTGCTTCTCCTTTTCCCTTTCTCCAGGATTCTCCTCTCCTGCCTCAGCTTTCTGTTGCTCTTTTAGTTTCTGTCTTACTCTTAGCTGTTGCAGTACCACCATTCTGCCTGAAAACTTTTCATCTTTTATTACTGTAAGAGCAGACACTCACTGCTCTAGTGCTTTCACCTGTTCTTCTGACAGAGCTACTTGCTTGCACTTGCTTGCATGTGTAGACTATGTTGACCTAAGGCAACAAAACAAACACAACACAGATGTTGCAGGTCCACCATGGGGGACACATCACAGTCCATTCTTTCTACTACCTTTTTGATTTTAGCTTGCTGGACCTGTTGTGACAACCAGTGCTTTCTCCTGTCTTTCCTGAAGATTAACAACACAGTAAATAGGAGTGTGTTACAAGAAAGGAAACACAGTGGAAAGGAGGAAAGTAAGGGTAAAAAAAGAAGAAAGTTAGGGACCCGCCCCTTTACTGTCCCTACTAAACTCCACTGACATAGTCCTGTTTACTCTCCTGTTTGCTTTCTTCTATTTTTATAGTTATTTGTATTTATTTATATTATTTATGTATTCTATCCTATCTATATTCTTTCTATCCTGACAAACTGCCAAAGTTCTCTGGGCAGCTCCCAAGAATAATCTACCCAAAGCAAATGTTGTCTGAGTAGATTGCAAAGAGCTAATAGAATAAGGCATGATATTATTGCTTGTGTTCTCAGTGATCAGAATTTGGAAGATAGAGATCAGCCAGTGCCAAGCTATAGGAACAGAGGGGGCTCTCTCCAACTGCCCTGGTACTTCGGAGAGGAAGTGAAGCAGGCTGAAGAGGCCTCGGGACAGCTCATATCCTGATTCCTCCAGTCTCCCCTGCCCTCCACCCATTAAAATGTGCCCTTTCCTGCCTCTCTGAGGTCACAGTGGTCACTGACTCCCCTGTCTAAGGTTAGAGTGATGCCTGCAGCCTTGATGGGGCAATTCCCCATCACCCTGGGCAATGACTAGTGGCCATAGGATTCCTGCCTCAAATAATTCTATAGTAGTAGTAGTAGTCATTTTAACTGAAATTGCTTAAGACACTCATGCTTCAGGATGATAACAAAGTACTTTATTCATCATTTTAACATCATTATGAATAGTTATTTTGGCTAAGCATATATACCTAGAAAAGGGATTCAGAAGGACAGGCATGCGAGTTTTTAAAAATCAGGTTAATAATTATTTCTTGCCTACTACTGACTATTAAACATAATCAGAAGTAAACATTTAAACTATGCTCTGTCATGGTAGAAGAAAAAATTAGAGGAAGCACAAAGCTATAATCTGGATTTTGAAAGGTATATTTTGAACCATTTTTTTTTAGCTCCTTGCAAAATTCTGGAAAATCCTTTCTCAAGCCACTTTTCAGCCTGTGGCAACATAATCTTCTGAGAACAAACTTGAACTAAAAATGCAACATTTGCTAATTCTGATAGAATGAGTAGAACTGCATTTTCTTTTCTTTTTCTCTTGTCCCTTTGACAGGAATCTAACATGCACAAGTTAAACAGATAAAGCTTTTTAAAAAGTAGTAAAAGATGAAAAATGTTTCTCCTCTTGAATTTCTGTGCCTCTTTGTTACATATAATTATTTAATTATTTAAAGTATATTTATTTGAAATATTTACTTAAGTAAAAAGAAGCTTGTGATACTCAAGAGTGAGTAAAGTCTGACATTTCCCCAATGGTCACATCCCATGGCTAAACATTCTGTGTAGAAAAAGGAGATCAGGAGGAATGGCGGATTCTGAAAAATGAAATATTGAAGGTAAAATCACAGACTACCCCAGTGAGAAGTAAAAATCAGAAACATCTAAGGAAGCTTGTAGCTGCCCAAGGCACTCTCTAATGAGCCAATATTTTAAAATGACTTGTACAGGAGATCAAAGGAGAGTCATATAAAACAGGAAAATTATCAGCAAGTAGCCCTAGCCAAGTGTTTCAAGAAGGCACAGGTACAGAATGTTTTTGAGGGATGCTAAAAACAACAAAAAGGCTATAAATAAGCACAAGAAGGAGGTGGCTCTGCTGCTTAAGGAAGATGTTGAAGATGGTGATGGAGGGAAGGCCTAAATAAACACGTCTGATTTTGTTTCAGACTTTTCCCATGAGTAAAACATATTTAACTGAAGACAAATGCAACAGAATCAGCTTGCAGTCTAGGATAACTTAGAAGAGATAGAGAATATGTTGCTATTTGACATGAGTTCAAGTCTCCACTACCCAGTAAATTACACCATAGCATCCTGGAAGAATTTCTGGATGTAATTTCAGAAATGTGAGCTATAATCCTAGAGTGCAGGGGAAGTGGGGGAAGACTGAAGGTGAACAAATGTTGCCCATGTTCACAAGGTGGAGAAAACCCAATCTGGGAAACTGTAGACCAGTATACCTGACATAAGGCTAAATTCTGATGTCTAAGGCTAAATTAGAGGCTAAATTCTAAGCAGATTAATAAGCTGTTGATCTGTAAGCGTTTAGAAAATAAGATTAAAAAAGATGGACTTTTTTAAGAATAAAAACTTGGGTCCCTCACCATTTAAAGAAGGTGTGCATATGTGGCCCTCAGAGGTCTTCAATACAAGCCGTCTCAGGTACTCTTTCCCTCAGGCCCGCTTCCCACAAGCACATGATGCTGCTTTGGCTACCACAGTGACAGGCAGTTGTCCCTACATACCCTGTCATCCAGCAGACTCATGCTTCCACGAGCCCACCAAGTATCTGCGTTCGTTGACTGACTGGTAGAAGCCTGATTCTTCTGGAAAACAGGTGTGCAAGGATAGCTTTCCTTATATTCCTATTTCCCAGAAGAACTTGGGAGAGCACTGAGCAAAGGGTGTATATAGAGCATCATCCTTGCCTAGCAGTATCACTGATGGGATCATCAGAATGTGATGCAGAAAGGGGGAAGGCTTGGTCTGGATCTGGACCAAGTCTGCATGTGTGTGTGTTGTGTGTGTGTGTGGGGGGGGGCTGCTCACCCACCCAATGCTAAATTTGGTCCTGCAGACCTTGCAAATTGCCCATTCTAGGTTTAAAGATATTCACCAGCACTTTGAATTGTACACAGGAGAGAACATGAGCCCAGTGAAAACCCTGGCGGGGTTTGTTAAAGGGCAGGAGGAAACCAGGGGAAATGATGGCATCCTTAACAAAAGTCCTGTGGATATCAGGTGTGCTGAATTGCCCCTGAAGATTTGGTGGGCTGCCTAAAGAGCACCTATCCCTCTAGAGGTGCCAATTTTATTTTCTGTTTTCTATCCCCAAAACAAGATATGAGGAATAGTAGTTCCTCGTCTCCACTGTCTCTCTCAGCTCACAATTGCTCTTCTTTCTCCTTTATGCCCCATTCAGGATTTTTATTGAGATAATTTCTTGAAAATTAAAATATTGCCAAATAACAGCATTGCAGCACAATAATCTAGTGTTTAATCTAAATTGCATCATAATAATCTAATATAGTTGCTTACAGGATTTTCATCCCTTCCATTTTGTTATGTAGTTTTGGATTATGGAAAAAACAGCAGCATAAAATTCTCTGGAAATTGGAACCTGATTTACCTCCATAGCTATTGTGAAACTAAGTACTGGTCCCCATTGTTGTTCCAGTGTTATGCTAACACTGATGATATTGTGTTAGCATAAAACAATGCTTCTGTAATATAACTAATGCTGTGAGGACAGGTGGTGATCTGCTAAGAGCTTTTCTTCAAAATAAACCTCATGCTTCATAATCTTGTTTTCAAGTTGCACTGCTTTCTAGGAACACATATATTCATATATATCATCCTAAAATGCCTCCCTGAATTTTTAGTAAAACAACCTGTTTTCTTGGTCTCCCACCACACTTACTCATCCATGCTGGTTGCAGGGCATACAATGGTAGGATCACTGGAGCTGCAACTCTGTGTGTATGCAGGTGCAGCTTGACCCCCAAACTGTTCCCCCAATGATGGTCACACCTCCATCACCTTAGTTGGGAGTTTTTGAGCTCTTCCATGTGGCCGCTGCCTACAGTTCATGAAGGATGCAGTCCTAAGTTATTGGCCGCTGTCATTTCAAGCTAAAATACTCTGGCAGTCTTGATGTGTTGGCCCCATTCCTTTTGCAAGTGGCTGTACCCTATTTTGCCTTTGGCCCTGCCTGCCTTTGGAAAGTAACTCTAAAAAGTGTATTTGAAACTGAATCCAGCCCTTGGGTGGGTGGGTGGGGGAGAGAGAGAGAGAGAGAGAGAGAGAGAGAGAGAGAGAGAGAGAGAGAGAGAGAGAGAGAGAATGTAGTGAAGGCAGTATCTCTGGATATACTGTCAAGCAGCTGCTTCTTGTGGCAGCTCCAGGCTATGGTCACTTCTGACTAAGTTTATATTTACCTATGTTGTGCATTACCCTCAATAATAATCCCAATGCAATATGTATCATCATAAAGTGCAACTAATATCAATTTGTTTAATTGATCATGAGACAGATTGTCGCTGGACCAATTTGGGTTAATGATTAAATTTAAATATGGGAAAGTATACAGAATAAGTTTTAAACAAGATTTTTAAAAAATGCTGGCTTATTCAGCTGATTTGCATATGCTATTTCAGTTGATGAGCTGAAATGCAAAATTCAGTACTGTATAATCTGCGACAATTCTGTAATGCTTGTTTTTCACCAATTTCCACATTCTGGCCTTGATCCAAGTGCCAAGTCCCAGTAATACCAATGAAATAAATTACTGCTTTCAGTGGGATTTAGTCACAAGCCTTTAGCTGAATCTAGACCACTATTACCTGGTCTGCAGGGAAGGAAACTCTAGTAGTGCAAGAACAGCGAGTGTCAAATAGCAATTGAGTTTGAGTAATGAGTCCCATTTTGCATTTAGAAAATTTTAGGAGATAGTAATTTGAAAACATTGTCATCTTTAGCAGGAAAGGGGATGATCAGAATTCTCCCTAGTCTTCAAACAACGTGTGCAGCCCTCCTAAGGTGGGATGAATTCCCTGCTGCAAGGAGCAGAGCAGGAGAACTGGCAAAGGGTGCTGCTTTCTCTGCCCCAAAGCAGGAGTGTCTGCCACCTCCAGTGGGTCTCTGGAAAGCCCCACCAGGTGCCCTTCTTGCATCATCTTTGCCACAATGCTCAGCTTTGGTGGGGGTGTGACACTGAGATGGGAGAGGCTGAGCAGCATGAGCAGCATTTGACAAGAAAGGACCTGCCTCCACTGTGAGGTGGTCCAAGCCAAAAGCAGCAGCACAGTCAGTCCAGAAGAAGATAGGACATGTCATTTGAGGTGTTGCTAGCTGTGTGCTTAATTTTGATTATTCTGTTTTGCAAAGAATATTCTGTGTTTTATAAAGATTATTCTGTGCTTTTATAAAGTTAAGCTCCTAAACACAGTGTAGCTTGTTCTCTCCAGTGTCCTCTCCAACCTACATCTCTGCTATGTCTGGCAACCGTTTGGGTAAATAAACGATATCAACAAAACATGCAGGTTGTGTAGAGTACAAAATGTTCTCACTGTTATTAGCAGTTGATAAAAACAGTATGCACTCAGTACAGTTGCCAATTGCCATTGCTTGTTTCTCAAAATTGTCAGGATAATACTTGAATATAAACATACACTTTGAAATATGCCCTTCTGAATCCCAGTATGAAGTCTAAGGTATCACTATTTTGGAATTTGTTGGCCCTTACAGAAGAGTGGGAAGAAAGCCAGTTTTGGCTGCAAATCAGTATTATAATCTTATTCATGCATCTCAAAGAGATAATAGTGCTTTCACACATGCAACTTATATGTGTTTCAATTTGTGGAATTTTTTAGAAGACAAGTGATTGACCACCTTAGTAATGTACTGTTTGCTACAACCCCATGACTTTTTACTAGGATACCCAAGTTGCCTGTTACACGTGATTCATGTCCAAGCAGTTGCCCACATTTAATACAGTTGATGAATGAGTTCTGATTCACAAGTCCTTGTTCTTAGCGTGAATTCACTCAAAGGATTGTTTGAGCGATACACGTGCTTGTAAAACAATAGGCTTCCCCAAGAATGAGTTAACTCTTTCCCCACAATTGTAGTTGCCATCATTTGTTAACCCCATACCTTTCTTTTACCTGATCATTAGGCAAAAGATGTGGGGAATTGCTTTCAAAGATAAATTTAACACACATCAGCATGGTAATCATTAGCTGCTTACTTTATAATGTCATTACTGTTTAGAGGAAGCATGCCTACAGGTAAAGCCCTTCCCACCCTACAAAGCGCTAGAAAGCTTTTCCAGTTTACTCTGATGGCTTTAGCAGTTGTGAGACTGCCAGTCAGCTAAGGTTTTACAAGAGTTACTGTCATTGTGATTTTCAGATGAGTCATTTGGTATATTGCCCCCAAAGGCACCTCGTTATGATTCAGTGTGCAGTAGCATATAAGATTGCTAAGGCTTTGGGGGCTTTGTAGATCAGAGTGGGGGCTGCAGTTGCTCAGCATCCTGAAGTCGCGGCATTGTACTTAATTGACACCTTTGATGTAGCCCCTAAGACAGCACCTGCACCTCCCACTGCTGCTCGGAAGACGTCAGCCTTACGCAGAGCAGCCTTCAGCTTATGAATCCTGCATCTCATTCAGCTTTCTCTGTGAGCAGCTTTGGCTATCCTTAAGTAATCCCAACGCTTCCTATTTCTGCTAGTGCCTGGCTGTAGTACAAAGGCAAACATTTTCCTGCTTGGCATTATCAGATTAAAAACTAAGTCTGTGTCCATGTTAGAACTCATAGAAGGTAAGTTAAATGCCTTATTGCTATCCTGACATGTTAATATTAATGCAAGAGAGTTTGGATGTCTGGGAGCTGTTGCTTTTTCCTGTGGCTGTTGAATATGGATTGTATCCTAGCAGTGGTCTGTCTGAGAAGACATTTTATTTTGTAGCATTTCTGCCTCTCTCTCTCTCTCTCTCTCTCTCTCTCTCTCTCTCTCTCTCTCTCTCCCCCCCCCCTTCCCCTTCCCCTTCCCCTTCCCCTTCCTCTGCTTTCAGTAGATTGTTAGTACTCTTTTCTTAGTTTCTCTATGCTATGCCTTCCATGGTTGTTAGGTTTTTACTTATAATTTGCACCAGATTATATGTAAATGCAAAAAATGCCTGTAACTATCAATAGTTTAAAAGAACTACCATTCTTATTTAGAAGAGTAACTGATGGGAAGCAATGCTGGGAATGGCAGAGACCATGAGAGTTGCTTCTGAGTTACTGCTTGGGTCAAAGGTGTTGTGTTGATGTCTTTGCAAGCAGGCAAGCTATTAGCATCAACATGGATTTTTCTTTTCTTTCCATATATCAGTGGTCGTAAATTTCAAATGGATCGTGCATATCCCCTCTGCCAGTCCCTCCCACTCCACAAAAATATTGAAAGAAATTTTATGCAACTCTTAAGGCAGAAAAGGCATATGGCTGAGCATCTTTTTGCATGCACAAGCAGTCCACAGTTGAAGGCAATAATTTTAATTTCATCAGCGTTGTGGCCACACAGTGAATACCAATTAGTTGATCACTTGTTTAAGCACAATGTAAGGCAAGCCAGTATTGAGAGATTCACATTGTAGAGACCAGTTGCTTGAGAGCAACCTTACTGAATGCTTATTAGTAAAGCAAAGAATATCAGTGGTAAAAGTAAAAGAAATGGCAGGACAAAGTGAGCTACATCGCTTGTATTTTGTTGTTTTATTCCAGTGACACACTGGTCTGATGCCATGCTTGTTTGTTTGTTTGATTGTCCTTCTAGTTAATGGAACTCCTGGTAGCCAGCTCTCTACTCCCCGTTCTGGGAAGTCTCCAAGCCCATCTCCCACCAGCCCTGGAAGTCTGCGGAAACAGAGGGTAAGGATACTTGAGGTTTAATAGTGGCCCAGAGTGAACCCTTGCAAGTAGCTTTATCTAGTGCAGTGGTTTTTGAACTTTCTCCTTTCAGGGAACCCTTTCCGCATTAATTGAACAGCCAAAACACTGTTGGGGAACCGGGCTGGGGAATTTCTCCATTGTCATTTGTAAGTTGTCTTCTAATTGGCTTTGCCTGGTCTCCTGCTCCACCCTGTTTCTGCTTGTTTCCCCCTATAGAGAATCTGTACAATTATGTACTGAATTAGTACATGCACTGACTAGCATGGTTTGGTCATTCTGCAGCCTTTTATTTAGTCATATAAATTTTATCTCATGCTGCTAAACATGAGCAATTGTGCATATTGAAATACTGGGTGTAATTTTGAGCGCACGGTCATGTATATGAATGCCTGCTAAAAAATGAAACAAAAATAAAATTAGCGTTCGTTGTTCTTATGCATTGCTTACAAGTAAGAAAAACAGTATAGAATATGAATGGAAGGCACTGAAAATTCTGGCAAGAGTATAATGCACAATGCTGGTGTTCGTTTAAAAAAGAGAGAAATCAAAGCACAAATAATGGCTGATAACAAATGCACTGGTACCATAATGTGCAACCAGTACCTGGTGATTTTGCATCCCTGCAGGTCTACCATGGAATCTTGCATAAACATATATATGCAGAGTACTGGCCAAATGTTAGGCCTCACCACTGTTCTGCATAAATAGAGTTCAACCTGGAAAATGCCCAATGGATTCTTGTGGCCATACATCACAGGGTAGTAAAAGTCAAGTTTCTTTCAGGGAATCTGGGCACCAATTATTTATCTTATCATTGGAGAAGCCCTGGTAAGCTTACAAAGGACTGTAGGGTTTCCCAGAACACTGTTTGAAAACCACTGTTCTTAATAAGCACGGTGTGCCTTTGTTTTAGGATGCTCTTATATGAACTTACTAACAAATAGAAACTTTTACCATATTTGATGTTGTTGAAAAGTTCTTTAAAACTTCTTTGAACCATACAATATCTGGAAAGATTTTTATTGGAAAGCATTTGCTGGATACACATTTTAGAATTCTGGTAATTTTAATACTATTCATTCAGTTATCTAAGGGTACCAACCAATGAATTCTAGAAAGAAACAAGGTAGAAAAAGAAACAATCTTTCTTTTCAAAATCAGGTGCAATAAATATCACAAATGAATCAGTTGTCAATGAAAGAAAAGTGTTTAGTATAAAGTATTAGTACATAATATGAGCCTTTAGAAGATCTATGTGGTTCTCCTATGATAAAGAAGAGTTTTCCATGATAACGCATCAATATAGTGCACATCAATCCATCATCAACTTTGAATAACAGTATTGGGTTCTTAATCATTTTAACACATAGATAAATAGACAGATGGCATAGATATAGATATCACAAAACATTGTTGGTTCTGTTTATTACAGGACAGGTCTCAACACTTAAGTTCATTCTAGTTATAAAAGGTGTCCATGTAGTTACATAAACTCTCCAGCCTCCAGTTGAGTTTCCCTTAAGACAGCACGCTCATGTCTCATATCTGTTTACTAATATGATTAGGTCCATCTTACTCTGTGTTTTGGCTGAACTAATTTGACAATGGACTGAAGGCACGTAATGCAGAAATATCACTGGGGCTTCAGCCCTAGGTCTAGGTCTGAGCAATGCCTGGATAGGGGAACACTTGGGAACCTTGTGTTGGTAATTTTAAACTATCTGGATGATAGAAGGGCAAATTGGAGGGGGGTAGCTTGACCCAGGGGTCCCACAAAGCTTTACATTCCCTGTACCCTTCAGAACATTTTTTAAATAACATCAGGACAGTCTTGTTTTCTCTTGCTTTTTAGTCTTGTTCTTTCTCTCACTTTCACCCTTTTGCCTTGCTGTTTTCCCCTTGTGACCAGCCTCTAACCTCACTATTTCCCCATATCGTTAGATCAGAGCTGCTTCCATCCTAGCCTCTACTGTCTTGCTTCTTCTACCATTTTGCTATTTTCCCCTCCCAGCTTCAGGCCTCACTTTTTCTCTCTGCCTCATCCCTTCATACCTCTTTAGCTCACTTTTGACTCGCCAGACCCCTATCACAGCCCTTATGCAACTGTATGGCAGCCATTCTGTGGTGGTACCTCAGTGGTTTTTCAAATTTCCAAATGTGTCCTCAAGTCTAATAAGCCTGGCTTAGTGTATCTGTTGAGTTATGGATGAGTCATGTAAATATGAGCCAATCAATCCATGAAAACTCCATTATACAAATCACCAGGGGGCAAACATCAAGGTCATCTTGCCCCTAGAAGCATCCTGGGAATATTTCAAATGAAACCAATGAAGTGTTTGAAATGAAGGAAATAAAGTCTGCGTGCCACAAGAATGCACACATGAGAAAGAGCATATGCTTACAGAGTTGATGTTTTATTTATTTATTTATTTATTTATTACATTTTGTACAACCTAACAGCTGAGGCTCTCTCGGTGACTAACAAATGTTATGAAAGGCAGGCAAGAGGTGTCGAGAGAGCCATATTATTACTTATTGAAGGTACAGGAGGCCTCTTCTGTACTGCTTTGTACCTCTCATATCACCAGGATCAACCAGTACCAGGGTGTGCCATGGAAACATAAGATGAACACCTCTCTCAGGCTCACCCGCTTCCCAATCTCCTCTTCTGTGCTGATCAAGTTGTAGAAGAGTGCCAGCAGACTTCATGCCACTTTATAGATAGGCAGCTGGAGCTTATTGGTAAAACGAGCAAGCAGTTCTTTATGCATTTCCTTTTTTTTACCACCCAATCGTCAATGCTTTCTGGGTGCTTAACAAAAGTCAACCCATAGCAACAAACTCTGCCAGTTCTGCTTGTTTCTTTGCCACCAGGGAGCAGGCCATGGCAAAACGCTGATCTTCAGTGTCATGGAGATGACATCAGGAGGAGCTGCAGGGAAGGCACTGTACAGTCCCTCAGTGTGTGCAGTCCAGCATCTCGTTATGTTGACTCAGTGATGCAGGAAGGGGCAATATGGCTGCCAAATGTGCTGTTGCAAACGTCAGCACTGAGAAATCTTCTCTTTTTGAAGTAACAGAAACATTCTATGTACAACTTCTGGGGCCTTCCTCCAAGTGCCAACTTGGTGGGAGATGCTTGGGATGGCAACAAGGGAGAGGGCTTTCTCGGTGGTGGTTATGGAATAACCTCCCCACTGGCTGGCACCAAATGTCATCTTTTTGGTGCCAGGTTAAGATTAAGCCAGGTTGATAACCTCTTTTCTGAGGCTTTTAATGACTTACTCAGCCACCCAGAGGCTTGAGGAGGGTCACTAGGTGTTCTCAGAGTCGTTCTTTCTCCCCCACACTTATTTTGTTATTGTCTGTATTTATTAGCCTTTTTAAACCGGTTTTAAACCCTTTTTTCCCTTAATTTATTATTTCTGATTTTCAGATTTTATTTGTTGTGTAAACAGCACGGAAAGCTTTGGCTGCGGGGTGGTACAGAAATGAAATAAATAAATCTGAGTGTTATAATACAGACAGATGGCAAGAGGAAGGTAGTGCTGTCTTTCATGGGTGGTGCCTGGTGGAGAACAAGAGGCACTGGAGGAGGATCTGAAGTAGCCCTCAGTCTTGAGGAAGGCTGGCTGGAAGAGTCTGTTTAATGAGGTCGTGTGAGCTGCACCAAGCACCAAAAGGGCTGAGGAAACCTTAAAATATGCATGAGGAAAAGCTTCAGCCATTGCAGTGGCTCACAAATGATTTCTTTCTCCAGCTTTTGATGTTCCAAATAAAAATTTTGGGAACTGGGGAAGCAAGTAGCAAGGTTCACCGAGGACTTCAGCTTTTTGCTCAAAACTCGCTCATCACTGCCAAACCCCACATCACATTCAGTAGTTTAATTTAAACTGCATGGTCTTATTTTCCTGCAGCTAAAACTGGAAAGTTTCTTATGCTTCATTTCCCTGTATGTTGAATTTTACTGAATTGTATTTAATTCACAGTTATATAAGTCACCCCAAGAACATAGGTTGATGAACAACCACAGAAATGTGTTAATACATATATTTACCTTTATTTTGGATGGAACAACTTCCACCGTCACCTTTCCCTTATCTACTTCATTAAACTCCCAGCACTTCTTGCAGCCACATTTTCTGGTTCCTAGTTGAAAAAACACTGTCATCTGAGAGTTTATGTACGATAAAAAGTTTAAGAAATAAAAGGGAATGAAAGGAACGTAGCAAAAAACAGAGGGCAGATAAATGGTGGCTTTCATTTCAATAAGTTGATGATTTAATAATTTGGGATTTTTTATTTTATTAAAGCAGAGAGATACTTATAAATGGAAAAACAAGATCAGGCTGATAGTCCTCAGTGTTATTCAGTTTTATGTCTGCTACTGCCTATAAAAGAACCATTTATGCTCTGTGGACTTCCTGAAGGCATCTGACTACCCAGAATGCTGGATTCAGGATGGTCTCCTCTTCTCTTACAATGCAAAATTGTGTCTTCTCCATTTCTTTATTTTCCAGCAGAGTCCATTTCTCTCCAGACATTTTGGTTGGCAGCTCACATCAGCCCCAGCCAGCATGGCTAATGGTCAGGGATGATGGAAAGTGCAGGCCAAAACATCTAAAGGGACCTAGATTGAAGTTGGTGTCTTCTCTGGTGCCCATGCCAAGGTTCCATTGATGCAGGGGGCACACTGTGGATTTAAACTATGTTTAACTGTTTAACCGTGCTAGAGGACTCAGCTGAATCACTATGTGTACAGAAAGCACAGCAAATCACATTAGCCTGCTATGATCTCCATTCCCTCTAAATGAACACCTCCTTTAATTAACCTTGAATCAATGCTGGGACCCTTTCTGCTTCCTAACATTCTCTCTTTATTTTTCTGTGCTGTTCATCTCTGAGACATGTGCTGTACTGTGTAGATCGAATGGGGCCACTTGTTATACTCCCACACCTCTGGCATTTGGAGATTATTTGATCAGTCAGAGGATGGTAGCAGTAGGAGTAGAAAATGATAGGAGATTCATAGTGGTAGCGCACACACAGACACACTCACGCACATGCTCTGTTTCCTCTGCTGATTGAAACTGGTTGCTTGGCTACCATTAGTAAGAATCCCCCCCCCCCAATTCTGTTGTTCTATCAAACACTTCTTTTTCCTTCTGTTTCAAACAATGGAAATGCAAAGGGGTTCATTCTGGCACTACCAATTTCTCAAAAAAGTGCAGCATATTCAGGTGTAATACTATGCAAGTCTAGACAAAAGAAAGACAGACAACTGGACTGCCGGGGCCATGCTGGGTGTCATAGACCTTTCTTCTGTATAAGCTTTCACAGGAGTGCACCCTTAAGAACTCCACAAAGTTAATGCTGAAAGGAGTAAAATACCAGAATAAAAGTATAACAACAACAAGAAAATGATATACCTTTTGTTAACAAAACACTGATGTCTTAAGCAAAAGGCTATAAATCATACGGACACCATCATTTATTCTTTTTTATGTTCATTTTGGTCTTCCTGGAAGGCAATAGTTAAAAATGTAAGAGTTTAGTTGCAGTGCAGCAAATCAAGCACAATAAACAAATTTATACTGCACTTCATCTTACAGGACCTGTATCGCCCACTCTCTTCGGATGATTTGGATTCAGTAGGCGACTCTGTGTAAAATCAGAAAATGGAGCAATGCTTAATGGTTTGTGACTGGGTGAAGGTGTGACACTTTTTAAGAATGTAGTTAGTTGCCAATTGACATTAGTGCATTGCACAAAAGGGTTTTGCATATTTTAATAAATCACTGACATTCATTAATATATGTCAACTGTACTGGTAATATGTGCTTGTGCTGTTTGTTTTCTATAAAAGGGCTTTTGGTTACAGGATGCTTAAAATAGTAATTGAACAAACATTCTGAGATAAAATTGGGTGGGTAATATAATACAAAAAGGTGCTATTATTTTGCTAAGCGCTCCACACTGGTTGTACCAAAGCAAGTCTGTGTGGTAGAGGCTTGAGCAAGGAACAGCCTTCTGCTTGCTTGGAGGAGAGGGGATCACAGATCATTTTCTGAAACATCCTTTCCGCTCATACTGCCAGTGAATACAAACCCATACCTTTACAGCAGTAAGAAATGTAAAGCAAAGAAAAGAAGCAAAGAAATGTTTCTGGATAAAGGATACCAGCAAACTTGCTGGGAGATTAATGGATAGCTCAGATAGCTTTTTAGAAGAGAATAGTACAGACACCGCTTGTCCTCACATTGTTGAACCAGTGGATCCCAAATAAGATTCCAATGTTTAGTAAGTTCTTTCTTACTATTTTTAAAGGAAGTCAGCATAAATTGGGATGAGGAATAAAACAGTATGATTGAAAAGCTATTTACGATCATTTGAACCACACAAAGCAACCATTCTCATTTTAGGATTTTCACTAGGAATTGTTTAATTTTCCTTCTTTTTAAAGATGTAAATATGACAATATACTTTTTCAGGCTCAGACACAACAAAAGCGAGCTCAGCTTTTTCTCCAGTTACATTATTAAAAGTAGATATCACCATGGTGATTGAAGTAGTTAATTCTAATAAGTTATTTCTGAGTTGCTATCATTTTTCTTTTAAATAAAATGAATGTGCTTGCTCATTCTAGAACAATTTTCTCTATGATAAATTTGTTGTTATTAAGATCAAAGGCACCCAGTGAGATTATTTTCTGTGTAAGCCCCATTGAAGTCAATTTCCATAAGTAGGTCTTAATAACAACTATTTTATCACAGTATGGATAGACTGCTTGTGTTCTGCTATCTTGTTTTGAAAATTGGTGTGTTTATTATAAACAAGCTTGGTCTTACAAATTGCTTGCTTAATGTAATGTTTTCTATCCAATATGTAAACTGTTATATCCTAACTGTAACATTTTAAACAATGCATTTACTCTAAGATTTCATATATATTGAATGAATGAATGTTAAATTATTTTTACTTATAGATTCCACACCACATTACAAATCACTGGGTCTCATAAGAACAGTTGTAACTAAAACTAAAGGCATCCATAGCTGTACTCTTTTATTTTAAAACTACTTAGCATTTTTATTAGTGCTAATAAAATGGCCAACAAAAACATAATAACCTATATTATTATGAGGTGTGTTCTGATGTTACCCTGGCATGAAGGACAGCAGAACACAACTGTAACATGTGTTAAATACGTCCAGTACATTAGCGGTTTTGCAGTTCTTGATACTGAGGTCTTGATTAGACTGGCTTGATTTCAGAAGAAAGCTATACATTATGGGCACAGTTCTATCAATTTCACCTTGATGATCAGCTTGTAAGCTTATGATCATCTATGCAGGGAGGGAAGGAATGGCAGAGGTGTTCTTTTGCTCTCCATCTTCTCACCCTGCATTTTTCACTTTTTTGACCATCTGGTGAAGGCAATTTCATAGGGGGAGGGAAGGAAGCTGGCAGAGATTCAAGATAGCTTGTAAGTTGTTCTTTTCCTCTTCCTCTCTCCATGTGCCAAAAGTTTCCCCTTTTCCTTCCCTGAGGACAAGTTCCCTTCTGTGCCAGCCAAGGGATGGGGTCCCAGTCTCCAACTTCTGAGGTCAAGACTTTGTCGCTCACGTAGGAGGCTGAGCTCCAAACAATCCTAGGGGCAACAGCATTTCAGACTAGGGGCCATATGACTGCCCTGTAAGACAGAACAGATTATTATACCCAAAAGAGGCAGAAGGAATAGAGTACACTGGATGCATTCTTTTTCAGGTTTGTTCTAGTACATGAAGGAATACTTTAATTCACTGGAGACTAGAATAGCTTTCTTTTATGTTGGCATCACATATCAAAATGAAGCAGGTTTGAGCTAGTTTTGAAAAGTAATATTTTAATTAATTTCCTTTTGTTCTATGAATGTTCACTCCAAGGATTTGAATTGCCACTGAATTTAAATTGTATAGATTTGTTTTTGCTATAAGGGTGAAGAAAGGATAAAATTAAAAGTTGATGGGCACCTAAGCCAGTTTTCTATGTGTGTTCTTCTAATGGTTCTGCTAGGCTAGAGTAGCCAAGGTGATGCCTCCCAGATGTATTAGACAACAACTTGTGTTATCACCAGCCAGCCATGCAACACAGTCCAGTACATCTGCAGGGCACCAGGTTTGGTGAAGGCTGTGCTAGGTCATACCATCAGTTTTACAGACTGTGATAGTTCAAGAGCTATTCATCAGTGTATGCTATTTGTTTCAAAGAAGAGCCTCAATTATTGGAAACAAATACTGTTCTATCAGCAATGAGATGTACTCTCTGTGGATAGAATTTGCAAAATGCAGAATCAGCAGCACAATTATCTTTGAAAAAAAGTTATAGGATTTTTACCTGAGTGATGACAATCATGTCATGCAAAATGGTAACCACATCTTCTTGTGGGTTATGTATTTTGACTGTTTCAGTAAATTACTGGAATTATTTACTACTCAGATGGCTTTAGTCAAAATAAGATTGTCACACAGCTTTTACTGCTATTTTACAAATACTGAGGGCTTTTACTTGTTTCTAAAACTTGGTAGTTTGCCTGTGCTTCTACATATTTACATGCAGAATTGCACATGCATGCACACATGAACAAGTGAACACACATATGTAAGGAATGGTAAATTTGCAAAGTAGGTCAGTCACTTAAAGACTTTACTGTGCATTAATGTTTATCTTTTTGAATTAGAATTCAAAACAGATAGTGAGCTGTTCACAGTAGAAATGTTTTAGTCAAATGCCAGTTTCCCATTTTTGTACATAGAATGGTGCTTTCAAATGAAAGAAAACTGTTTTCCTTGGTTTTGTTTTTACCATTTCAGAATCGTGAGTTTCATTTCCACATCATTATGTCAAAATTGTATTTCCAAAGCTAATGAAGACCAATTTAAAATTATTTCATCTCACTGTATTGGTATGGTATGATATATAAGGTTGCAGAGACACATGCTAATAGAAATGTGCCTTGTGCAAATTTGTGCATGTAATATAATATCAAAACGATAAATAGTGAGCCATGTCTACCATGGCTGCCTTTGGATATGCTATGGTTTATCATGACTCAAATGAGTCCAGCTCCGTCCTTGTACACTGTGCCTCTCCCTTCTTCTAGTCCAGCTTCAGTAAGAAATTTGGAAGCTTTTGCTTCCATTTTTTAAAATTAAAGTTCAGCAACTCCAATAAGCTTTGACTGATCTTAGCTATGGTTTGTTTGAAATAAGCCAGATTTCAAAACCTGAAGTTGGATTGTTTCAACAAATCATAATTAAGAATTGCCATGCCAGAGCTTAGAGTTCACATATAAGACAAAACTGTGGTTAATTGAAATTTGAAGTTAATCCTTCCAGTTTTCTCTTTGTGACTGTACCAGGAGGGAAGAATGGAGAGGAAAATGCATAAGCTTTTGGAGAATCTAGGTATATATTCTTCATGATAAACCATAATTTATCACAACATGTGGAAGCAATCAATGTAAGTCTAAACATGTTAAATTGCTCACAAATCAAGCATTATATGAGGCAGAAAAAAATAGAAACATAGTGTGTTCTGTGGTAGGATTTGCATACCAAACATACACAACATCTGCTTAGTCATGGAAGCAGTTATCTGACAACATGGTGAAAGACTAATCTGAACAATGCAATACATGATGAGCCGAAGCTGCCTTTATGTTTTAAGTACATTTCTCGCCAGTGTCTGCAACTGAGATTCCTGCCGGTTCACCATGTGTCTATCTGGTTTTTCTCAATGTGGTTGCATACCTGTGTATATAATTGCATGGACAACTAATGAGGACTGGTCCCTTGGCATCCAGGATTGTATTATATAAAAACTGCTTTTCTTTGTATGATCATCTATACACAGTGTGCATGTGCATATTTGTATACCTCTTGCTCTATGTATATGTACTTTTTTGTTTGCACTTGTTTAACTTAACCCTGTGCTGAAAGGTATGGACAAGAATGGACTGAATATTTTGTAAATTCATCTAGTGTGCTGCAATACTAGAGGGTAATAATTATTTCCCTTATATAATAATCTTCATTTGGTTTATATCATTCAATAAAAGAAAATTTCAGTATTGTGAATGCTTGTTGATAAAAAATATGTTTACAATTTTATTCAAGTTTTTTGGAAATACTTTACTGGATTCATTTGTTTTTCTTGTTTTTTTTTCCATACTGACTGTTAAATAAACAGCAAAACCTGTAAAACATTTTAAAGTAGTTTCAGCTGAAAGTAGTTTTGTTTTTCTAATAAATCAAGCAAATGACCTTCATTTTTTGTACCATCAATGCAGCGCATTGTATGTGTGTTTTGTATTTGACCTTGCCATACTTGATTGCCTTTGCTGGAGTTTAAGCTGTAAGTCATAAAATAAATAAATGGGATAATGTATTCTAAAAATTCAGTGAACTTCTTTTGAGAATGTGAAAACCAGACAAAAGTTAATCTCCCCTCTAGCCTGTACTTTTTTTTGGTCCCTGAACTATGGAATTCATAGATCTTAATGGGTTAGTCTAAACATAAATGTGTGCAGTGGCCTTTAAAATGTAAATTGTGGGTGCTGAAGAATAAATGCAGCTGAAGAGAGAATTTCAGATGGGTTCTCCGGACAGTAAATTTACTAAGCCATAATTGCATATTTTTGAGTGTGTGACAAGGAATAGATTTGAAGCATGGAATGAGAAATGTATTCTACATTCTGTTCTAGTATCAACATGCACTCCCCTTAAGTCAGCTATTAGGAAAATTGAATAAGACTGAGCTCTGCAAATGTTGCCTGGTGGGGGAAGGTGGGGGAAGAAAGTCTGCTTCTTCAGGCAATTCTGAAACAGTTTTCCTAGTTTTTCCAGTGGAAAACTGAGCAAATATGTTTGCATATCTTTCCAGATATAATTGTCTCTGTTTTGTGAACCAGATTTGGTAAAAGGTCTGAAAGACTGGTTGCAGTTATTTAAGGTAATTCAGGTGCTGGGTATTTATATATATATAATAAAACCATACTAGACACTTAAGGTCAAAGATTTTGTTGATTTTCATTCACATTGGTTACCCCATCTCACCCTTTTTTCTTTAGCTGCATGGATTGCTAGACCATAATACCCCACCCTGACTTCTGTGGTTCCACCTTAGGCAGTTTTTTGTCATTCTCAGTGGTGTTTCCCAGCCTTCAACAAATTTGTTATTAACATTATATTATTTATCCTTTTATCCTGAATATTTAGAAGGTTCTAGAAGCTATAGTTGCTGGGATCCCAAGTGAAAATGCCTTTTAATCATATGCAAATATTTTAAACACTGAAAGGCCAAAAAAGATGTGACATGGAAGATCTGTTACTGGATCTTATTATAATTACAATAAGTATTGATGGGTTGCAAGCTGATACAGGAGGTTCCAATAGCACTGGGATGAGAGTGGATTTAATACCTTCCTCTTTTCCAGATTTCAGTTGCCCTACCAAAGCTGGTACTATATAGTCTGTAACCCAAACACCAGCTCCAGGGAGGAGCAGAGACTGAGACGAGGAATACAGAAAATAGAGTAATACTTAAGCCCCATTCCCCCAGTGCTGTAACATCAATTAAAATTATGTGTTTTGACCAATATGTCTCTAACAGTAAGGCTATATGTATTAGCTACTATCCAAATATGAGGTGGTTATGGGATGAGTGGAAGAATGAAACTTTAGGGACTGAGCCTTCTTCCCCAAAATAGAAACTATCCAAGGTGAATATCTCAGACTCCTCAAATGAATTGGAAGGAGAGCCAGGGTCAGAATTCTGAGCTGAAATTTCAAGGCCAGTAAACTTTGAGATAAGCCAAGTGGCTGATGAGGCCCAGACCATCTCTGGTTCACATAGAGACAGTGCAAAATAAGGAGGATTGGAGAGAGATGGTTTAACTTGATCAGTCCAATTGCCCAATGCAGACAAAGAGAACTAGCCAGTTAAGGAAAGTCTGGCATTCCTGTTATCTGGGCCACATGCAGAAGAACTCACCTGAGGTGGAGCCAAGTCCTTTGGTGAGGAAGGGAGGGTGGTGATTCGGCTGGAATCATTCTGAACTAAATGGACAGAACTAAAGCCACAATTAGGGACTCCTTAATTGATGGATTTCTTTTGCTGCTGACCTTTATCTTACCACCTTTTCTAACAAAAATAGCCCTGGCTGGTCAGCTTTGTCTTAATAAAAGAGGCCCCCTCCTCTTGTTTTGTTTGGAAGGAAAAAGGAGGG